CACTGATATTTACACATTTCAGAAAAGGGGAAGAAATGATGCATGCATGCATATTCATGAGTACTAGATCTCGAGTTACTTCTTGCCCCTCTGCTGTCTACTTCAAAGGAAACAATTGTCTTAGTGAGAAGGAACAGGTCAAAAGGAGGGGGCAGTTTAGGATGCCAAATGCCAGGATGAAAACTTCCTTCATTGGCATCTTGAGGACAGATTCCTGGGTTGCAATAGATATGTTCTGATAAGATTTACAACAGGCTGGTGTGAACCAGGTGATAAGCCAGCTCCAGGCTATTGCAAATTCCTTGTTTCAATTTGATTTAAACAATCCCATTCATCTGAAAACTTATTTTCCTCACACAAGGAAAAGCAAAAATCAAGAAAAATGGTCTTCTTTTTTGGTTGGCAGGAGCCTCCAAGAGGAAGAAGATTATTCTACAAAAAGAAAGGGTCACAGACTCAAATATATTGGGTTGAGCAAAACAATGTACGTAGCTTTTAAAGGATGATTCAATAGACAGAGATATCTCTAAACTGAGAAGGCATAAGCAGCCCCTTTTTTGTCGAGGCCTAATTTTTGACTAATTGAATGATTTTTTTGGTTCAGGACCCAAGCAGGACATGGTTATCAGCCTCTTCACCCAGCCAGGGTTGGGGGACTGGGACACACAAACTTCTGGATTATGTATTCCCATGTCTTCCTGTTGGGAAAGGCCTCTCACATTCACTTTTGCAGAAGACTTGGCCAAAAAAGATTTGTTAACCCCAAGACTGTACTAGTTCATGTATTATATAAAGAAATGGCTCTTTGCTAACAGTTTTAATAATCTTGAGGTTGAGTAAGCTTTGAACTGTCTTTGCAAACTTTTCATAATTTAGGCTTTAAAATATTACTTTACATATTGATTTCCCTTTTTTAATTTTTGTGGTTTCTCTTGCTGCAAAATAAGTAAGGATAAATAAAATTGATAAAATAGAATTTTAAGACTTTAAAAAACTGCCGGGACTACTTTGGAAAGGAACGGAAATCTCCTTCACTGGGAGAAAAAAGACAGCACAAAATTTCAGCTTATTTCTCTTGCATTTAATGAGTTAAAAATAAAATGAGGAAACACTTCATGGAGAAAGTAAGCCTAGAACAGGTCTTCTCAGTACAAGTACATGGCAAGTAACCATGTCATGGTGCTAGTGCATACCCCCAGCTCTCCCCAACAAAGTGGTCATAATGAAGAAGCTGATGGGAATATGGTTGAAACCATACAAGCAGACAGGGTTAACAGGCTTTATTGTACCCAAGGCCATTTATCAACCAGGAACGGGGGAGCTAGGCTGAATCAAATAAAACTCACCTGATAACCTTGAAGGCCAAAGACGCTATCTAAATAAATCAATAGACAGGCCATTGCCTGGTATGGAGCTCATGATTGACAGCTGTGAGCTGAAACTTCCTAGATGAGGCAGATGAGACAACATTCACTGCACTGAACAAAGGACCTGTAAAAGCTTCAGGGGACTTAACTGCAAGCCCAAATGTGACACTCGGCAGCCACACAGACAGCTCAGGCTAACTCCCCTTGCAAGGTCATTGTAGGATAAAACAAGGCTTCATTTGTACTGTGCTGGGCTTCTTTGGGGAAAGGTACAACACAAATGTGACAAATAAAACCCAAGGACACAGATGGAAAATCAAAGGAAGGACAGTGGCTCAGAGAACATTTTTTTCTCTGGTGAAAAGATAATTAGTACCAAGGTATGCTGCGACAATGTATCATTAAATCACACTGATTCTAGCTGACTATAGTGACTCTCCAAAATTCTGATCTTCTAAAAAATTATATCAATCTTTCTTCTTCTTTTTATATCCAGAAGAGCTCATAACTTATAAAGTCAAGGATTTGTACAGGACTTTTTGTACAGCAGGAACCAAGAGATTTATTAAAATGGACTTCAGGTCTGCCCCCTCCCTATCCTGAAGAATTCAAGCAGGTAACATTAAAATAGATTGCAACAAGCAAATGAAAGATGGGAAAAGCATTTTTGCTGCACAAAATGCTTGGCTTAGAGATCAGAATGCCTGCACTAGCACAAAGTAGCTCGCAGTTCCATCCAAAAGGGAATCCTGGTTATGCCATTGGGCACCTGCCAAGGACCCCAGTGTGACAAGTCGTCATATTTCGGTGACTATTCCTACAGGTGCATCCTTTGTCTCAGCCACATAACCATTGAGAAGATTCATACCTTGTGCAAATCTAATACCTGACAGGAGTAAATCTGATCTTTTTTTTAGCAATTTCCCTGGGGGATGACGTCTTTCCCCAACTTGAAGGTTGAGAGAATTAAGTATACCTGTATATATGGGATAAGACGATAAAAATGGAGTATGGCTGGTATGAAAACTCTGCTTTTATATTGAAATAAATACTTCTTTTTCATTCATTGTCATAACTCTTTGAAATCGTTTTTTATCTATTTCCATGCACAGGAATGCATTCTTTTGGGCCACTCCTCATATAGAGGCTCAGTCCCAAATGCGCATAAACTTCTTTTCTGCTTTTGAGAAAGCTTATAAAGAGGTACAAAATAAAGATACTCCACTTTTCTTGCTCGCTTGCCATTGAGTTCCAAATTTAAGAATGTTCCTTTACAGCCCTTGTATTTCTGGAGAGAAAAAGAAATACATTTCTTTTACATCTATTTTTCTTAAAGAAAAAAAAAATCTAGCTCCCCCCTTGCTCCTTATACTTAAGAAATGCATGTTTGTGTGCATAAGCGTGTGAGAGAGTCCAGGGATAGATATATTTTAGTATCAACCCTACATTTAAGTTTGCAGCGGTTGATATCTATATACACACACACACATACACACACGTGTGTGTGTGTATCTATATATGTGGACTGCATCATGTTATCTGGAAAAATATTCGTGTTTTCTCTAGGAAAACAATGGAGGCCCCTCTGCAAACTCTCACGACTGATGATAATTTTTCCAAGAAAATACAATGGCTCTATAACAGCATCAACTGAAAGTCTTTAAAGAGGTTCACAGGTTATCTCACTGGAACACAAAGCAATGGCCAAACGTAGATTAGCCATAATGCACTGGAGATGTTTCCTACTTTAGTTTCATTGTTAGCTAATGTTGATAACAGGCAATCAAAATCAGAAATCTTCTCTTCCTATGAAAATATAATTGCTTTATGTGCATCATCCTTCCCTGTTCTTGTCACCTGAACAAGCCATAATTGCAAATCACATTTAAGTTAGCTTCTTTGGACAATCATAGTTACACTAATTTTTGAGTTGTCCCAAGTTTGACGTTATGACCAATTATAATTAACTGATACTAGAAGTTTTCCAATCTCTTTGTAGTCACACTGGAGGAAGAAAAGGGAAGGATACGTTGTATATGTATGAACATGAGGCTTACTAAATTAACACCGCACTACTATTTAGTAATAGAATTGAATGCAGCTTTTTCGGTTTTTTAACAACCTGATGTTAAAAGAGGGATTCCATTATCCAATTTGACAAGGCTATGGAGATATTGCCATAATTTCTTCTCACTTTCTTTAGTGTTCAGAGCAAAATCAATGCAAAACAATTTAATTCTTGAAAGATTCTGAGTTCCATTTTAACACTCAAAAAGTGTGAGAACTGTATTTACATAAATTAATCTCTACTTAAAAAAGAATCTTCTTTTTCCACGCAGGTAGTCCTCACTTAACCACAAAAGGGACTGGAAAATTAATTGTTAAGGGGGTGGTTGTTAAGCGAAACATCACATGACTGCACTGATTTTACATTTTTTGCGGTGGTTTGCTAATTACTGTGGTCATTAAACAAATCACACAGTTGTTAAGTGAATCACAGAGTTCCCCACTGATTTTGCTTGTTGGAAGCCAGCTGGGAAGATTGCAAATGGAGATCACGTGACCCTAGGATGCTGCAACCGTCGTAAACGTGAGCAGGTTGCCAAGCGCCTGGATCGTGAGCACATGACCTTGAGTGTGCTGTGGCAGTTGTGTGAGAGGACCAGTCGTAAGTAGCTTTTTATAGCGCCGTTGTAACTTTGAATGGTCACTAAACGAACGGTTAAGCGAGGACTACCTGTATATGGAACAAATAGATGATGATGATGATAATAGTAATAAACTTGTGCTGGTTTTCTTTTGCTTGTATTTTTCACACTGCAGATTTTTTCCTTTGCATTGATTTTACTGTGTATAAATAACTATATATATTTTTTAATTCTGCAGTGCTAAAAGCTTTATGTTAATTACACAAAGAGAATTGCCATATTCAAAATATACACATTACATATAATATCATTACAGCTTCTTCTTCTTCTTCTTTTGGTAACCCAGGGAGGTGTATTACTTGCTACAGGCTCCAACTTTCAACAGTAGTTTTTTGTCTGTGTATCTGTACGTGTTTGTGTCATGTCTATATGTCTTATGTTTGCATTTAAAATACAATAGCACTATAACTCTAAAACAAAGTGAAAAAATGATAATTAAATGTTTATATAGAGTAAAAAATATAGAGCATTTTCAACTCCAGCTCTGATGGTGGCATGAGGGTCGAATATGTATTTTTTTTTCAGCCCCTTTCTTTGTGTTAAAAAAAGGAAAATAGATCAGGTAAGATTCACCATCCCCAAATTAAAAAAAACCACCCAAATGCTTTATAAGATCGTCATCTGAATACATGACATTTTGTAAATGGAGTCTTACAGCAGAATTCAGCTGATGGGTACTTTAAAAACTGCTGATGTTTCTGATTTGACTGAATGATTGATGTTGGCTTTATTTTAATGTTTGTTTTTACTTTTTATAATGATAGTTTTGCCCTTCTTGAAGCCCAGTCACTCTCTAGCCTGGGCAGTTCTGGAAAATTGATAGCGAGCTGTCACTCCTGGTCAGACAACACTCTTAGGACTGGTGTTCAATGAGGTATCAAAGGAGGAGAAGGCCTCCTTTCTGGCTTGAACATCTCTCCATGACTTAGAACCCTTTGATGTAGCAATAGGCCTCCAGGGTAGCAAATAAAATGTACAGTAGCCACAGACTCACAAAAAGCAAAGTTGTGGCAAGTCTGCATCCTTTGGGGCCTCCTAGTTCCCCTCCAAGATGAGGCCGTCTTCGGTACAATAGCACGCTGATGCAGACGAAAGCAAAAATGGTGAACAGCGTTACGGAGAAGGCAAGAGTGCCTGCTGACACATGGAACTCCTCTCCTTGAGAAGCCCAGTAGATGGCGGCTACTGACCATGCCAGTCCGATGCCCAAGAAGACGTTGACTGCATTGCTGCCTGTGACATTGCCAATGGAAGCATCTGCATGAACATCTTGAACAGCGGCTGCTTTGCTAGCAAAAGTGTCTGGAAGAGAGAAGAAACAAATGCATGAGTTCAAGCAGTATTCCCAAAACTAAGAAGACAAACTCAACTCTGGCATGAAGAAGATGAAGATACTTTTTAGGGCTGACAAAGAAAGGGCCAACAACATTAAGTTGGTGAATCAGTGTGCTCAGATGACAGCTCACATGATGGTAGACACGTGCTGAAGAGCACTTAGTCTAATCAATCCTACTAATGATATCTCATGGAGAGAACAAGGCCTTAACTCAGTTTTTCCCAATCTGGTATGCTCCAGATGTGGTGGGACTACAATTTCCTGAACATCCAGTGAGCAGTAATCTCAACACAGTTAGAGGGCACCAGTTGTGGGAGGGGCCTCATCCTATTTTGCAGATTTTAATGAAGACAGTAGCTGTCAAACTACCAGCTTATCACTTTGCTTATATTCACATTGGAAGAAACTGTATCATAATTTTTCATCCACATAACAAACAGAATTCATGAATTCCCTTTAAGATAACAAGGTTGTCTGGTACAACTCTTGTTTTTAAGTTCTTTGTGGATCAAGGATCACTTAATCTTTTCCTTCCCAACTGGTGTTCCACGTATGCAGTCAGTAGAAGGGGAAAAGAGAGCAGGAGACAAAGATAAAATAGTAGAAAGAACTAAACACACTTCCTGCTAATTTCCCCTTGCACATTTCACTAGTATAACCAGATAAACATGGTTTATGACGAACTCAGCCTCAGATTAAGATTGATAACCACACATTTGGTCAGAAAGTATTTGTTGTGTTTGATTATAGAATGCTTTCATTTCATAGAAGTCTCGACATGCAGGATTGAGAAATGAAGAAAGCCATATTTAACACTATATCAGCCTTCTCAAAACTAGGGCCATCCTGCTAGGAAAATTAAGAGTTGCCATTCAAAGACACTTGCAATGTTTCCAGTTGGGAAGACTGATCACTATAAACTAACATTGTAACTGTTATTGGCATGAAGTCAGCTCAGTTCCTACAATTGTTTTCTAGCAATCTGTATTGTCAGAAAGTCAGTGACGGCTCCAGTGCTTATGAACAAGTGGTCCAGTCTTTATTTTCAAAAACTTGCAACCGATTATATGGCTTGGAAATAAATGCTTCAAAGTAACAACACTAACATAATAGCATAAACCGTGGGTCTGCTTTCCTTCATGCAGTTTTGTATTTTGCAGCCCAGTTCAAGCATTTGTATGAGGCTTTGAAAGTAGGGCTTCAAAGTAGATGAGATGCATACACTGGCCCCATCACATACTCTCCCCAACCAAGAAGTCTGAAGGAGAGCTGCACTCCTGCACTCTTACCTGCTTGTATTCAACTGGGGATCTTGCTCTGTTCCATTCAAGCACAAGTAAGCACAACATCTCTTAGATCGCCAATGTGGAATTTGGGGAGATTAGTAAGTAGAATTGGAAATAGCATGAATATCTTTCCTCCACCCGCTTTCAAGCCCTCCGGTGTTTAGATGAAAGCCTGAAGAGGCTCCAGTTGTAACCTCCCCCTTTCCTGCACTGAACGGTACATGCAGATGTTTCCTTCTCATACTTTGATCTACACGCAGAGAGATTTGGTAGGTAAACTGAAGATGGACCTCAGAGGTGTCTGCAAGGTGTGTGTATGTCAAAATCAGCAAGCTGGCAAGTGGGACCACAGATGGTGCTGAGGAGCAGTATTTGACAGCATGTGCAACCCTGTTTATTTTTATTCAGTGGAGGAAAGGACAAAGCTCTAAAATGTTTCTGGATTGTGTTCCATGGCCTTTGGCTCTCTTGACTACGTGAAACTACATGTAATATTTAGTCTTACTAGTAACTGGGGTTGTTAAACGATCGCTGTGTTTTACATGTGTGTTATACTTTTTCTTATACTTTTCTTCTTTTTAGCATTAAAATGAAAAAAGTTGGTAAACTGCTTGGTAGAAGTGATTTATTTAAAAACTAGTCTCATTTGGTACTAATATGCACAGTCAAGGCCACTAGTTTTGTTGCAAAGAGGGAAAGTACTAATCTGAAATATTCCCTACTCCACAAACTAATCCAATAGGAAATATTTTAAAGGATCATTTCTAACAGTTTCCTTGTTAAGAAGCCCAATTAGAATATTTGTAACAGACTTCTTGAGAGTCTCTTTACTTTTACTTTTTTTTACTTTTTTTTTTAACTTTTGCTTAAGTATAAGGCACTTTATCATTTGCTGACATTATTTTTTATTTATACGTACATGTGTTTCGAAGGCGTAATACATCATAAATTCCAAACAAGCTGATGGGTGTCACAAAATAGTTCTTCACTGTTTTTATTACTTGACATACCTGCAAGGAGTTAAATAGAGCAACCATAATTTCCTTTCCCCACTTTTCCTTATGAATATTCTGTAACTGGCTTTCAGATGGCCCTGCTTCTTCTCTTTGTCTAGGCCTGGATTCTTTGCGGATGTCATTTTGGGGGGACATTTCCAGGAAGTTGCATATGGTTCTGTGTTAGTAATTTAACGTTTGCAAGCCCTGTTAGTGATGGAGTAGTAAGAAGGCACATGGTGCTAACCTGCCCATCTGAAAGAAACCTCCTCACCTGGGACTGAAGTGCCAAAGGCCACAAAGACCACGGCAGTCACAGAATCCTTGAGTCCAATTGTGCAGCCAAAGTGGGAGGCCAGATCTCCAATGATGGCGGTGAGCATACCAATGATCAGGATGGACACAACGAAGCAGGCCCAGCCATTGCAATACCCTGTTGGGGGCACACAGGCAAAGAGCACTTTCCAGAAGACAGTCAGGAAATGCATGACATAATCAAAACAGGAGGGCAGGCGCTCCTCACCAGTCTCATCCTCATCTTCATCACCTGCTGTGGGAAAGACAAAATAGAGAGCCTCAAATCAGTGGATGCTGGCAAAACCCCAGCTATCCGAGCCTAGAAATATCGGGGTGATAGCTGGTTAGAAAGTCACACCATCACTGCTTTATTGGGTTGCTCTGGGAGGCACTGCTGGGTTTATTTATTCATTTCTCAGTGTACCTTGCTTTCAAATTTGCACATCAGATGAACAGGACACAGAGAATATCAATTTCCAGACTTCTTCATTGTTTATGTCTGTGCTTGAAGCTGCTACACTAGCAGCATCTATGACTGATTCGTCCCTTGAAAAGGCTCTGTATGAAAACAGCCATTTAGATAACTAAATATGTTCAACAGAAGAGTATCTTTCTTGCCTGGCCCATATGGCCCACAGCCATTTCTATACAGTGGTACCTCTACTTACGAACTTAATCCGTTCCGTGACTCTGATTGCAAGTCGAGCTGATTGCAAGTCGAAATAAATTTT